GGCCATAGAAGCTCTGCCACTTTCCAACACCCCCGAGGTCCTGGGCCTTCACGCCAACGCTGAGATCGGGTATTACATGCACGCGGTGCGGGACATGTGGGTTCACCTGCTCGAGCTGCAGCCCCAAACTGGTGCGTGCCCTGTGTGAACTGGCTTTGTGAACAGGAAATCTCCAGTGGCGAGTGCTGAGCCCTGGGGACAGTGACAGCAGCCCCTGTGTGTGGGGAGCGAGCTGGGGGCTGTGTCCTGGCCTCGGGGAGCAGAGGGAGCTCAGCCCTCCAGGCTGGGAGCAGCTCAACACCTGCCCAGAGGCACAGCTGGGGACGTGCAGGGCTGTGGGAAAATGGCACAGCAGAAGAGGGGGGAGACTGATGCCAAAAGGTGACTCAGCTCTCAACCTGCTCTCAGAAGATTTAATATGGATTTAGTCTCACTAACATTTCTTCATTTCAGGTGAAACTGGTGCAGGAATTAGTCGAGATGAATACATTGCAAATGTTGCCAAGGATATAGAACACAAATTACCTCAAGTATTTGATCTTGACCACATACGTAAAGGTTTTGGAGTAAACATCTCCCCTACGACTGTGGTGCTGTTGCAGGAACTGGAACGTTTTAATAAGCTCATCGTTCGAATGGGAAAGTCGTTGGCTGAGCTACAACGTGTAAGTAAAATCATAGCAACTCGAAGGGAGCAGCTGGGCTTTGCCTGCCCTCAGAACTCTTACCATTGTTCCAGGCCTTGGCTGGGGAAGTTGGAATGAGCAGTGAATTGGATGACGTGGCTCAGGCTCTCTTCAATGGGCAGATTCCTGGGATCTGGCGGCGGCTGGCCCCTGACACCCTCAAAACACTTGGAAATTGGATTATTTTCTTTAGAGATCGATATGACCAGTACACCAGCTGGGTAAGCAAGCGCCTCCAGACAGCCTTTTGTTTTGTTAACCTGCCCAATGTGCGGTGCAGGCTGGTGCAGAAACCAGTGAACACTCCAGGTAAGTTCTGGAACCAGTGCCATTGTTGCATAACTGTGGATGCAAGGCAGACACACCCCAGCTCCTCACTAAGGGCAGTGTAAGGTGAGTACCAGGTGCTGCCCATCGCTCTCTGTGGCTGCAGGTCAACGAGGGTGAGCCTGAGGTGATGTGGCTGTCGGGTCTGCACATTCCCGAGTCCTACCTGACCGCTCTTGTTCAAGCCACCTGCAGGAAAAACAGGTGGCCCCTGGATCACTCCACCCTCTACACAGAGGTAACCAAGTACAGGAAAGCAGAAGATATCACTGAAGCATCTGCTCAGGGTAGGTGTTTTCATAATTGCTTAGCAAAAATAATAAAGCAGGGAGCGGGTGAGAGAAAGAAATTGCTTGACACACTAAATTACTTTGGTTAAACGTTGGCAGCCATTTGCCCTGGATTTGCATTTCACAGTCCTCAAGATTTCCTGCTGGGAGGTAGCTGGGTTCTGGTCCCTGCAGAGCTCCTGTGTGCATGGAGCATGCTCTTCCCACCCACAGGCAGGGATTTGAACTTACACCTCCCCCTTGCTTGCTCCCTATATATATGTGTGTGTATATATATATGTATGTGTGTATGTATATAAATATATATATGTATATAAAGACACACTGATTTCTTTATGCCTAGAACATTACCAATCCCAGCAGGCTTGTAAAAATCTATTTACATCACAAATAATTCATTGAAATGTACTTAAGAAAAAAGTACCTACAAACATGTAAAATTTATAATGTAAATATCTCTTTAGGAGTTCTCTATGACTAGCACTGCTGTAATAACTAAATAAAACAAGCTGGGTACAGGGAACAGCTGAGCAAGGCTCTGAGTACCAGCTCTGATTGGCAACAGAGGAGGAAAAAATTATCCTTTTTTTTTTTTTTTTTTTGTTAAATCCTAATGCTGTACTTGGAATTTGGACCAGAACAACTGTCCTGACCTTTCACCTGCTCTCAGTGACCCAGTGATCAGGCCCAGGGGAGTTACAAAGCTCCCTGTCACTTGGGCAATTGGAGGGCAGCAAATCACATTTATTCCTGCTACTGTTTATCATGTGTAGCACAACAGAGACTTTAATTTGATTTCCTAATACAGCTGGATGATAAAAACAAAGCTCTCAGAAAACTGCACCCTGTGCAGCTGCAGTTTGAAATTGTGTTTGTGATGACTGTAGTGCCCAGGGACTGCAGGAACAGTTATCTTAAAAGATCTTCTAGATCTTCTCTAGCAGCTCAGTTTACCCAAATGTTGCATTTTCTGCCTTCACAGGCTGTTACGTTTCTGGTCTGTTCCTGGAAGGAGCAGACTGGGACATAGAGGAGGGCTGCCTTATCCAGAGCAAGCCCCGTGTCCCAGTGGTGGAGCTGCCCATCCTGAGGATCATTCCCATAGAAGCACACAGGCTCAGACTCCAGGTATGGCTCCTCAACTCCCTTCCTTCCACTGTCACATCTCCCCAGCTGCCAGGCCCTGCCTTGTGTTTTATCATTACCACTCACAAATGAAGCACCTGGTTTAACACTTCTCCTTACACTACCCATCACTACAGTTTCTTTCTTCTAAGGGGGTTGATGCATTTGGTGCCTCTTTTTCCTTCAGGCACTCTGGGACAGGGATCTTGTGACACCTTGACACGTCACCTACTCTTTCAATTATTTCCCATCCCCAGTAAATGACATAAAGGACATTTACATTTTCTGGATATTGGCTATTTAAGACCTCTTAAAAAAAAAAAAGTGAACTTTTGAAGCCAGTCCTCTCTCCTTGAGTCCCTTGTTGTTTGCAGTTCCATGTAGCAGCTCAGGCACTGCTCAGTGTCCGTGCTGCCTCCGTGCTCTTTCAGAACACGCTCCGGACCCCGGTGTACACGACCTCCATGCGCCGCAATGCCATGGGCTTCGGCCTGGTCTTTGAAGCTGACCTTTACACAACAAAGCACATTTCCCACTGGGTCCTCCAAGGTGTGTGTCTCACCCTGAATGCTGAATGAGAGTCAAAAATAGGCACCATGTTCTTCCCCCAGAACACAATCCTTTAGAGATGCAGGGAAAAAACCCCTCAACCCAGGTAGAGGTTTGGCACCATGGGTGGGGTTGTGTTCACGTAGGCACACCTGACTTTAGTTAGGATTAGCTTGGTTGTATTTTATTCCAAATAAACACATTTGAAGAATAGAGTGGATTTTGTAATTTGTGTTTCCTTTTGGAACGGCTCCAAGCAGGTCTGTGGCTGCAAAGAGAGAGTTAAGTTGATCTCACACACACAAAGACTAAGGTTTGCCTGGATGGTTGTAAGAAATGTCTTTAATTGCCCAAAGCATCACTTCTGCACTGCCTGTAAGCAGTGCCTCCCACCAGCCCCCAACAAGTGGCAGGGTAGGTCACTCATACAACACATGACCATAAAAACATGGTGCCAACAACCAAAGTAACCGAACCAGCTGCTGGTTAATGCAACACACGTAAAAACAGTAAACCTCAGAGTAACAACCTTGCTTTAACCAACCCCTTTTGGGAGCACAGCTTTTCCCTATCCCTCCCTACCACTTGTGAAACAAATTCCTACCACAGAGCCAGCAAGGCGCGAGGCTGAGGCGGTCTGGGACTTTGGGACAGCGAGTGCCAGAGGGCGCAGAGGGCAGAGCCTCAGCCAGGATCAGCCCTGCTGGAAGGGGCATGCTGCGGGAATCGAGCGGGACCACAGGCGGGAGAACAGCTCTGCCAGCCTGCCAGGGCCTTTGCCGGGGACGCTGGTCCAAGGCTCCGGAGGGAGACACACACCAACACAGCTGCAGAAAAAGCTTACGAGGGGCAAACTACAGCTGGCGAGGGGAGGGGACAGGGCAGGCAGGGATCCTTCATCAGCTGTCACAGAGAATACACGTTCCAAATTTTTAAAGGCACATCATAAGCTTAGCAGCATTTGGGAGCCAGTGTTTCTTGCTGGTCCTACTCAGAGGCTGCAGACAAGAGTGAAGCAGAGGTGAACAGAATGTAAGAAAAATGGATGAACTCGTGCTCCTATCCCAAAACTACATATCCTCCCAGCTCCTAGTATGCCTTTCTTCCCTAGAAAAAAACATAAAAAAAGAATCAAGTACTCTAACAGCTGTTGGGTCTACCTGCTACTTACTAGAAAGGAATAGGGGAATCTGGTCAAGTGCAAGGCAAGTCCATCCCAATCCACAAGGACAGAAATCAAGGATGCCAGGTTCTCCTGTATGAATTGATTACATCACTTAAAACTAAATACTCACATTTTAGAAGGGCAGCTCAGGCTTCTAGGCTGGCAGCATCCAGCACTGTCTGATGATGCCCAGAACAAGACTACGGTTTTTAGGAAACAAAAATAATCCCTTTACAAAAAAAGTGCAGATTAGAGCATAAAGAATCATTTCCATATTGGATAGCCAGTTACATTTCCTCCCTGGAAAAGGAGCTCTGAGCCAGTATGGAAGGTGCTACAAGTGCAGTGTACTGACTAGCATAAAATGTGTCATGAAGCCATTTGATTAAAAAAAAACCCCAAAACAATCCCCACAAACAACCCAGTGTTCATACTCTTCCTACAAGGGTCGTTAACCCTTTAAATGGTGCTTCCCCCACCCATATTTTACTTAAAGCCACAAACCAAAGTATTTAGGATTAATCAAGTAGTGCTTGCAAGGACTCTGGGGACGTCCTTAGGTCACTGAAGTGAACATACACGTGCCAAACTTTCAGTGCTGCTGCCAGGGGTTAGTGATGGCTCTGGAGTGCTCACACACACAGTGGAGACAAGAGAGCCCTGCCAGGTCAAACATTACCAGCCAACACGTGTGGCTGCAGGGTGAGGGAGGGATGCTCCCTCTGAGAGTGCTCACTAACACAGCCTTTGTCCACACCTGCAGTTTCACTAAATGGAGCAGCACTTGGAAGCAGTCAGGTCCCCCTGATTTGGCCACAGCATGGAGTGGTTATATACCTTGCCATATGAACACAGTCCTAGGAGGTTTCATTAGAGCAAAATGTATTAATGATGTACCCGGGAGGAGTTTGGCATGCATGGGGCATCAAAAGAAACTTCACCGCAGGTGCTATTTACCCTACAGGCTCACAGTGCATAACCAGCACAGAACAGCGCTTCCGTGGTGTACTCAGACAGTTCTGTCTGTCCCCGAGTGCTTTCTGACCACTTTGCTTCCATGGACCTGATCCACAGCCAGGGTCTCCACCTCCTGCGGCGGCTGGGCGGGCGCGGCGTGGTGGATGCGGTGAGCCACCCCGATGTGCGCCTTGTGCGGCTTCTCGCGCGCGGGGCTGTGCGATTCGCTGGGCGCGCGATCCGAAGGGATCGGCGGAATGACCAACGGCCTCTCCTTGATCAGATGCACCTCTGCCGTTTCCCTGGCCAGCAGAAAGGGCGTGGGATCGGGCATGGCATCCACGGGCTCTCGCAGCACCAGCTTCCGGCTCTCCGACCCTATTCTGTAGGCCTCTTCGAACTCGGGGTTCAGCGGTGTGGACAGGCTCTTCTTCATCCTGCGCCGCGGCGTCTCCGGCAGTTTGTCCTTGGGAGGGGAGGGTTTGTAGCTGGACAGCACGGGGCTGCCAGACGGGGTCCCCTCCGAAGTCCCGCTGGCACTCATCAGCTTCTTCTTGGCCGCGTGCAGCTGAGAGGTCAGATAGGCAATCGTGCTCGCTCTCTGCTCCAGTTCACTGGACAACATATTGAGCTTATGGCTTTTCATTTTTAACTCTTCCAAATACTTCTTTTCTCTTTCTTTAATAGTGTTTTCCAGCACCATTATCATCGCATTCTTTTGTTCAAGTTCTTTCAACAACTCACTATTTTCAGCTTCTTTGATTTTCAGCTGAGCTTCAAGATCTTTACACTTACTTTTGAGTTCATCACTTCGTGTGCCACCACTTTCTGGAAGAACAGGAGAAGTAGAAATGTTTCAAGTTAACAACAGCCATTATGTAAAACAGTGCAATAGGGCTCCTCTTGCCATCCCCAAGAGGAATCCAAAAGACTAACTTCAGTTAATATTCATCCCACACCATCCCTGATCCAGGGGATTAACCTCAGGGAGTTATCTTATTCCTGCTCTTTACCTGTTGTTAATACATATAAAATAACTAGCATCACACACACACATATATATTTAAATAAAAGCTTTGTGGTTAATTACAGCACCAACTCGGCTAAGTTTTAAAAATAGTCTCACTCTTCTGTCCCTAAAATTCGTGTCCTGTGTTCCCACATAGCAAGCAGGGAACTGACTGTCTAGTGGAGTCAGCAGTTCCAGGTGCTATTCCTGGCTCTTTTGCGGATTTCCCGTGTGACCTTGGGAAAGAATTTTTGATTTATTTACTTCATAAATAACTAAGTCTGCAGAGTAGAAAAGAAAATACAGACATTGAAAAAGATTAGCAAATTGAACATGAACATAAAAAGAAAAATGCCATGTATTCCTTACCTGATGAGTCTGAACTCTTTACAGTCAGCTCATAGGTTAAATCTGAGGAAAAAAGTTGTTTATTTTTGTTAGAAAATCATCATGGAACCCAGACATCACCTGGCAAGCAAATTTACAATAACAGCTTTCAATAAATACAGAATTAACTCTTCCCACTGCCCAAAGCAAGAATAGGAGACTCGCTGCAAATTAGCAAATATGTAAAACAACTGAACTATCAGCTTTTTAAAGAACAAATTAAAAAAACGTGGCTTTGATCAGCCAGTTTGCCACGAGATACAAACTGAGGACCCTAAATCCACCCTGCTGAGGTTTCAAAAGTGGGAAGCAGTGACTGTGAGGAACGGGTACCTGTGCAGCGCTGCTGCAGGCGGCGCAGCTCCGCGTGCAGCCCCTTCAGGGTGTTGGCATGTTCCCGCTGCAGGAACAGCAGGTTCTTCTGGGCACTCTGCAGCTGGTTCTCCAGGGTTGAGGTGGCCATCCTGACCCTGCCAGGGAACAGACATGGAATTGTGATGGTGAGTTACCTTGCACATATGGGGATCCTCCCTCTGCAGGCAGCATCAGCAGGAATGGCTGAATTCTACTGCTGATGCATTGATTGATGTGCGATCATCGAATGCCACAGAAGGTTTTTCTGCTTTAGGAGTATTTCAATTACAAGTGCTCTGAGTTTATCAAAAGCCTAATTATACTGTAGGCTGGAGCAGGGAACTCATTTGTTTGGAGTTAACACATTTAAAGGATTAACTTCACACAGTCCAAGTCATTAATCCTCGTCTCAAGTTAAAAGCAGAGTTCTGAGCAATGGGCTACTGTGTTCCTCTTGCTCGGAGACACAGGGATTGGTAAAATCCCTGGAAAGAATAAGGAAGAAAGCATTAAAATGCACCAGCTCTAAGGAAAAAGGCAAAGCAGGGGTCTGAGCAGAGCCAGGCTGGTGCCACTGCCATGGATGTGGCTGCCAGGGGTGCCTGTACTGAGATGTGGGTGCTGGGACCAGCACAAGGGAACTCTGGCTGCTCTTGGGTTTCCTCAACACCAGGCCCAATAACACAGAACAAGACAAGGACAATGCTTCACTCAAAGAGAAAACAAACAGATTTTTCTTGCTCAGGTTACGCGTACATGGAAACCTGTTACACTGCTGGATTTCCCTTACAGAACAGCCTTGCAAAAGTAGGCCTTGGCTACTTTTACTTTTACTTGGCTTTGGAATGGAGTCTTATGGCAAGATATTTTTTCTACCAGTTTAAAATTGGTAGCGCATAAGCTCAGAGCAAGTGACACACTTTTGTTATTCCTAAACATATCACAGCCCCGTGTTTAATTTTATATTTTCTTCCCCAAAAGAACACCAGACTTGGTACTCCTGCATCTTGGTGACACATTAGGTACCTGGGGATGTGGTGTAGAAATCACACACACAGAGAGCCCTCCTGATTTCATCAGTGACCTGACCTGACTTCATCTTCTACTGACTTATCCCTACAGAAACAAACATTTGATTGTAAAAAAATAAAATGAAGGTGTGAAAGAAATCTGCTTCTGTGCAGGAGCCAAACAGCCTGGTTACCTTGTAACAGAGATCAAGGATTAAGTTCAGTGCCCAAGAATGTGGGTAGCAGTGCCAACTGTGCTTTGTCGAGTGAATGGGTCATTTTACAATTATCATCGTTAGCAAACAAGCAAAAATTATGGACTGAACACATTCTAAAAAGAGATTTCCAGGGTGGTTAAACAAACTTTGCAACATCCCATCACTGCCACACTGGTGGTCCCTCACAGCCACAGTGCTGGAGGGCTGTTGGAAGGGGCACTACACAGGCACAGCAATTACTGTGGGGCACCATGAATTCTGAGGAGTGAGGATATTTAAGTTGTGATACATTTTCAAAGTGACATCCTCTGGCTTGCAAAGCTGACATCAGACAGACAGGAGCTTTACCGAATTATCCCATTTCTTCAGTGTTCATCCTACTCTGATCAACTGAGCATGACAGCAGGATAAAGCCACAGCTGGAGCTCTGATTGTGCAGGACACCAAGGCTCAGAAGGGATTCTTAATCGAGGAATGTATTTTCCAAAAGAAACCCTAAGCTCTGATAGGAGTAGGTGAAAGAACAGCCTCCACACAATAGCCCAGAGCTTGAGTTCTCACAATGGGTATTAATGGTGGCTTTTCACCTGTAACCATAACCTGGACAGGAAAATACTTGCCTGAATAGGAAAATATTTCATCAGCAGCAACAGACAGTAAGTGTTCATAGCTCAGTTCTTGCAAATAAATACGTTCATTAAAAACTAGTTTCTAAATGTTAAAAAAAAACCAAACCAGAACAAGGCTCTCACTAATAATCTCCTCAACTGCTTTTTCACTTTGATCTTCTGCATCTGAAAGATCACACTGGGATTACCTGCTCTGAAGAAAACAAATATAATCAAAGGCAAGTGAGTGTTACAGGCTTGGGAAGAAAATAAGAACTACCAGCACCAAAGCATCATCTTCCCTGCAGCAGCAGTAAGTTAATCAGTGAGATCAATTAAATCAACCCATGATGAGTTTTAGCTGCAGCCCCTCTGCACTAAGCAGCTTCCCACAACCCTCTGCAGCCTTTCTGTGCTTTTCCCCTCACAGCAGCCTGGTTGTCTGCTGCCCCCTCTCCTTCCCCTCAAGGGAAAGCCAGCAAGGTGAAGCCACAGCCTCCATGGATGTGTGGGCAGCAGATCCAGTTCCAAACTCACTCACCCACCTGCCCAGGCCTTTTTACACAGCACAGCCAGAACTGGGAGGTCTGTCCCTGTGCTCTGGGAATCAGCCAAAATTTGCTATGTCCCATAGTCCTGGGATTGCACTAAGCCGATTTCATCTCAGGCTCTCTGAAACAGGAAGGTCAAAAAGCACAAAAGGAACAGCAAATGCAGAAGTCAATGGTGCCCTTTACAGCACAGAGCAATCTCCACCTCCCACCATGGAAATTGGTGGGACAAGCTCCCAAATCCACCAGGTTCTGGCTGGATGCTGGCAGATAAATGACACCAGTGCTGGGAAGAAGGCTGTGACTGCACACACAGCACAAAGTTATGTCATTGTGATTCTTCCCCCTTCCCCTTTGCCTCCAAACAAAAAAAAGTTTGCTATGTTCTTACACAGACAGAACTGTGCAATGCAGAGCTTGGCAACGTCCCCTGGGAACGCACGTGGCATTTGGGAAGGGTGACAGGATGCTAAAGGGACACTGCAGTGTCCAGGGGTGATGGTGAGGGTGACACAGCTCCTCTCTGGCAGCAGGACTGGCCCTAAACACCAAGTGTCCAACCTGTCAGCAACAGAGGCTTTGGGTGGATTGTGCAATGCATTCAGACATCCACAACTTCTCATTTCTCAGGACCACCATCCCACCAAACGTTTCTATATAGCTCAGAGAGTGAGCCTCAACTCCTCCAAATAATGGATTCACAATTTCTCTTGAATATAACCAAGGAGGAACAAATGGAATGAACCAAACAGAATTCCCTTGGGAACATTAAATACAACACTTTAATCATGATGACACCTACCTAAGCCATCATCTTCCAGAGAAGGTAACTTCAACTGTCATTCCTGTAAGCTCACCTTAAAAAAAAATGGTTTGTCTCCTTACAAGTGTTATGTTCTCTTTAAAAGGGAATACACAAAATCTTACATGGAAAAGGAAAGAATATTAAACAGGAGCTTTCAAAATGCAGCTTCATCACATACCATAAACAGTCACTAACATTTTAACAGCCACATCTTGCCTTGCAGAGGATGAAGGCTCCAGGCCTTTTTGGATCTTAAGCATTTGGAAAGAGTTCAAAATGTTTCAAGGCAATGAGCATCTGGCTGCGTATCAGATGCCTTTGCACAAAATCAGAGCATCTCTATACCCCACTGCAAGATAGGAGGAGGGAGATGCTAATCTCTGACCTTAGACACAAGTCCAAAAGATGGAACAAAGCCCAAACAACAGTGATTTAATATTTTCATTCCTGTTTGGTATCCACTAAACAGAACGCAATAACCTCCTTTTACGTGGATGGGGTGACCATCACCCGAGAAGCTGCTTTAGCTCCCTGCCAACTCATAGCCTTGAAATATGTATGGACAGGCTTTTTCCTCTCAATTGCTCACTGGCCAGTGCTCCATCAAAATGTAAAAAAAGCTGCCATAATGTAATTTGTTTGCTATACAAAATACAATGTCAAGAAGTAAGTAAGGACAGTCCAGTCTGCTGAAGTCAGGCTGTTCAGACAATACACTCAGCCTAAACATCCACCTCAGGACATCCCTTCCCTTCTCCAGTGCTTTCTTATCAGTAAGGAGAACCTCTTGCAGCAACACCTCTATCCTCAGCCTTCTGTGTTGCAATATAGCAATGCTTACACATCATCAGTGACCCAGTAACTTGTTCTCATATTCTCTTCCTTTGTGTGCTTTAAACCAAGCCAAATTAGTAGTTCTTTCATGAAGACAATGGCGGGGAAGAAGGAACTGTGCCACTGTCCTCCCAGAGGAAGGACGTGATTTCGCTTTCTCAGCTCCTTTTCCATTTCTACTGCTTTTGATGCTGTTTTACTCAGTGGTTTCTCTGCCTTTCCCATCATTTTCTGATCAGAGGTTGTGTAAACTCTTAACAGTTAATCTCTGAATGTCCTGCAAGCACACATTTCGGCATTTTAGTAAGAAGATGATTTTTTGTTACTCCTACAGCAGCTGGTATGGCAGCGGGAAGAATAATTGAGTGGACAGCACCCTGGTAGCAATGATTTAATTCTGGATGCTCCAAAGGAACCAGCTGGTACTTTTGCACAGAACTCACCAACTGCCTACGTGCCTGCCTGTCTACCTGGAGTCAGGAGCACTGACTGGAATAGTTCATGTGGTGTTTTCTCTGTCCTTGAGACCACCCAATCCCAGAACTGTCACAGGGAAGATTCAGAAGAATCAGATGTTAAAATCACTACTGTGACAGAGACTATTAGAGAACCAAATAAAATGGTCCTGCAGTGGCATTTCATACAGACACAGTTATCACCACCAATACCAGGGTATGCAAAGCTATGGCTGTACAGCTGTCAGGAACAAATAGCTTACTCTGGCAGGAAGCTTTGAAAATTACCTAATTTGAGCCTAATTCACTTTAGGAAGACAAAGAACTATTACCTAAATGACACTGACTACTTCAAAAGAGCCCCTTTAGCAATGATGAAGTGATAATAAAAGCCCTCACAAACAAGACTACATCATCATGTAGAGGAAAAGGTTGCTTCTCTTCTGTCCTCTAGCACATGCTCCTAAAGAATGGCTCCTCTATTTTATTCACCCCTTCATTCTGAGGATAAACCAGTTTGTTATTTTAATATAACCTCTAGCAGAGCCACAGAATGCAAACTGCACCCCAGTCACAACCAGGCATCACAATACTGCAAAGACACGTCAGTCTTTCTAGTAAACCAAGTTCTTTTGTCAGAAGAATGACAAGAAAATTAATATTCAATTCTCCCAGACTAACACAATATCAATGTTACACATAAACCTGAGCCTCATTCTATTTTTTCCCAAAGTCATTAAGAAAGTTCTCCAGCTTCAGTTAAAGCTGAATCAGGACTTTAGTTAGTAAGGTTGAGCTGTGGGTGGTTTTTGGTACAAGGATCTGTTATGTATAACTCCAAATTCATGCTTAGAAATCACACTATACTACAGAATAGTCATGGGTTTTTTTCACAGATTACATACTCATGAACACTGCATACCCTCTTTTAATTTTGTCCTCTATGATCGAGAATGTGTGAATTGCATCAGAAATAAAAGAAAATATATTTGTGCAATATAAAAATTTGCCCTTTCTGAAGCCTGCTGAAACACGAACTGAAAGAATTACTAAGCTGGTTTCACATGACCAACTTGGCTTTTGGGTCTTTTCCTGCTCTCAAACTCAACAAAAACCCATCACCACACAGACATTTCACTGTCCAGCCCAGACATGACTTTGTCTCACTCATCCCACTCACATACACCGAGCAAGAACTTAGTGCTGCATTCCTGAAATGCTCCAGAATCACCTTCCTGGTCATTCAGTGAACCAGGTCAGGGAACTGGTGCAGCTGAAAAAACAAACCTGTTTTCCCACTGACTGTTTTCAAGTGGTGGGTTCACTTTGCAGCACTGTAAATGCCTGGGGAAGGCGAAAAAAAGGAAAAATAAAAAATAGAATCTGTAAGCAGGTCAGGGGGGTGGTACAGGCAGAACTGTTTCCTGCAGCAGCACCAGCTCCAGGCACTCACTTGAGCTCCTACTGCATGAGCTGCAGAAATGATGATTTTCAGAGGTTACCAGGAATACTTGTGAAACATGGAAGAAGGCACTGAAGCCTTACAGCAAGTTAAATAAATCTGTCCTGAGAGATAATTTACAGAGAGCAGCTATTATAAAGCAACTCTACAGAACTGCACAACTATTTCCAGACAAGTGT